CCTCCTTCCCCCTACTCTCCTCATCTTCTTCTTCTGTTACTTCTTGTACTTCTCTCCTCCTCCGCCTCCCCCTCATCTTCCATAGTACCTCCCTCCCTCCCTCCCATCTTACCATAGTCCCTCCCTCCCTCGCCATCTCGCCATCTCGCCATCCCTCCCTTCCTCCCATCTCGCCATAGTCCGTCTCATCTCCACATCTCGCTATATTCCCTCCCTCCCTCGCCATCTCACCATTCCTCCCTCTCTTCGATATCCACACCTGGCGATAGTATCTCGCCATCCCTCCCTTCTTCCCGTCTCGCCATAGTCCCGCCCATCTCGCCATCTCGCCATAGTCCCTCCGTCCCTCCCTCGCAATCTCGCCATCCTTCCCTCCCTCCCATCTCGCTATCTCTCCCTCCCTCCCTCCCTCCCTCCCTCCCTCCCTCCATCCATCCATCTTATTCTTTTTTTTTTCCTTTCTTCTAGGGCATTGTTAAGCAGTCTCCCTCCATCCCTCCATTCCTCCATCCCTCCATCCCTTCATCTTCTTCTTCTTCTGTTTTGTTTATCTTCGTCAACATTGTCAGTCAGTCTCCCTCCCATTTCGCCATCCCTCAACAAACCCCAAACCTCCTCCATCTATTCATCCATCTTCTTCTTCTTCTTCAAAGTTATTAAACAGTCTGCCTCCATCCCTCCATCACTCCATCCTCTCATCTTGCCATCCCTCCTTACCTATCGCCATCCTTCCATCCACCTTCTGCTTCATCTTTTTTTTTTTTTCTACTTCTTCGACATTATAAAGCATCTCCCTCCATCGTGCTATCTCGCCATCCATCCATCCTCCTTCTTCTTCTTCTTCTTCTTCTTCTTCTTCTACTTCTTCTTCTTCTTCTTCTTCTTCTTCTTCTTCTCCGACATTGTAAAGCAGTTTCCCTCCGTCCGTCCATCCAACCATTTTATCAGTCGTTTATTGGAAGGGGAGGAGGTGGTTGCAGCAACATGGCCAGCGGGAGCGGGGCAGGGGGTGCGGTTGGTGGAGAAGGAAACCGATGGCAGTCTGAAAGAGGAGGGGGCAGAGGGAAGGACAATGGACATTGCAAGCTCAAGCGCACCTTCCTCGGGGGTGGTTGATAAAGTCCCAATGCCGGCTACGGACCCATCCTTGTTCGTCCCACAGCCGGAGGGAAGGCAAATGAAGCTGCAGGGCGAGAAGGAGGTGTGGAAGCATGTGGAGCAAGGTCAGGAGGCTGCGCCAAAGGGGCGGGGAGAGTATTGGTTGCGGTGTCAGCTATGCTCGACCGTTTACAGGGGCACGAGCACAAGAGCCGTTGAGCATTTCCTCAAATTGCAGAAGCCTTGCCCTTTCAGGACAGGCGGGATATTGCACAAGCTGGTGGCCCAAGACGCGAAGGTGCTGCCGAAGGACAAGAAGATGCAATACCTTCTGCAAAATTACCGGCAGTTGCACAACATTTCAGTGGGTGGGGCTGCTATCACTAGAGACGACGAGAATGTGGTTATACCTCGTGGTTACGAGGAGCCACAACCGTCGGTTGCTGCTGGGAGGGAGCCAGTGGAGGAGGTGGTGCAGCGGGGAAAAGAAACTGCGGCGGTAGAGGCGGTGAGAGAAGATGGTGATTCCAACAAAAGGGTGGCTTCACTGCAGCAAACGATCATCAAGAGATGGGTCGACAACACGGCGCAAAAGAAGTTGGACGTTGCGGGGGCGAAGACAATGTTCAGAGCCGGAATTGCATTCCAATACCGGGAGTTTGACACCACCCAGCAGCTGCCCAACGTGTATCTCGAGGTGGCGAACGCTAGACCGAAGGTGAAGTTGCTATTTTCGAAGCACATGCGGACTGTCATGCTCGAGTTCATTTTCATGCGCATTCAAAAGCAAGTGGAGCCTTTGACAAAATGTTGGGATGTCACCGGCTGCACTTTCATCACGGACGGGTCTAACGATCGGAGGGAGCGGCCTGTCATGAACTTCTTAGCGGCGGGGGAGCAGGGAGCTGTTCTAGTGGTGACGGTGTACATGGACGGCAAGAAGAAGACGGGAGCAGCGTTGGCGAAACTAGAGAGAAAATAATGAGGGAGATCGGGCTGCATCGCATCAATGCGATTTGCACTGACAATGCGGAGGTGAACAAGAGAGCAGCTCAAATTTTGGAACGACGCATGGACCCTGCGGTTTCAAGGATACCTTGGGTTCCCTGTGATGCACACTGCTGCAACTTGCTGCTAAGGGACATCAGCAAAGTGGACTGGGTGAAGGGCACAGTGAAGCGGGGCCAAAACATCGTCAAGTTTATCAGGAACCACCACAGGACTAACAGTTTCATGATGATGTTGGACTCATTATTGACACAGTTGCGACCGACTGAGGTCCGTTTTGGGTCGGTGTACCAGATGCTGAAGTGGATACACAAGTGGAGGGCAGTTTTGAAGGACATGGTGGACCCAAAAAATGTGGGGAAGTGGAAGGCGATGCAGTGGTCAAGCTTCAAGTTGCAAGCGAAAGCGGATCTCGTGTACTTCACACTGCAGAGGGATGCTTGGTGGACGAAGCTAAGGAGGGTGGTGGAGATGATGGAGCCGCTGTATCTCCTACTGCGGACGATATACAAGGATGAGAACGCACTGTCAAACCTTGTGGAGTGGAGAGGATGCTGGTGGTGGTTGTGCTCACACCGGAGCAGCGAAGTTTTGTGCTAGGGAAGGTGAGGGACCGCATAAAGATGATGCGGCAACTGGTGCACGCGCTGGCTTTTCTCATCGACCCGCGGAGGAGAGATCGAAGTGGTTGCTGGACCGTGACAGCGCACTTGTGCAGAACGCGCTGCGTTATTTGCAAAGGCAAATTGGCGGACCTTGGAAGTCCAAGGTGCACGTGGGGATATTGGGCGACCTACGCGAGTTCCACAAGCGACCCACCGCATACGACCCCAAGTGGAAGGACAGGAAGATGTGGGACGAGGATGCGGTAACGGATGCTGATTGCATCTCTCCGTCGGAGTGGTGGGCAACACATGGTGGCGAGGTGCCGAAGTTGCAAGCCATTGCTATCAAAGTGATGGGCATGTGGAGTACTGCAACTCCGACGGAGCATAATTAATCCTCGATGGACTTGGTGCACTCCAAGCGACGGAATCGGTTGAAGCCCGTGGCCGTGGAGAAGCTTGTGTACATTCATTGGAATATGAATTTGTTGCGGGTGAGCAAGAACTTAAAGGACCATCACTACGTGAATTTGTGGGCGGAGTTCTTCGAGTCTCTTCCGGATGCGGAGGGGGGCGATGATCCTCTTTTGGAGGAGCCCGAGGAGGAGAAGGGGAAAACGGAGGAGGAACAAGCACGGGAACGGGCCTTCATCAAGTTACCAAGGGGCCGGATTTCGAAGAACCTCGAAGAAGATGAAGAGGAGCACATGGACGACAACGACTTGGATGACGAGATATGGAAGAAACAAACATTTCGTTAAAATTGACATTTTTTACTATTTTCACGAAATTGAACTTCCAGAAAAGCACAGTATTTTTTGACATTTTTTTGCGCCGACCACATTAGACCATTGATGGTCCGGCATCCCAGGACGCCGGACCATTTGATATGCCTCAATTTTTTCCCTTCCTTTTTTGACCCTCGGATGTATTTTGACGGTACTTTACGATGAGATACATCAGATGGTCCGGAGTCCCCAGGACGCCGGATCATCAATGGTCCGATGTCGTGGGCACAAAAACACACTAAAAAACTCAATTTTTTCGTGGATGCCCAATTTCGTGAAAATAGTAAAAAATGTCAATTTTAACGAAAGGCTAGTTAAGGGAAAGACTCCATGGTCTGAAACGTTTAGCGAAGGGGAGGCAGAAGACTCCTCCAATGATGATTTTGAGTTGGGAGCGCGACCCTCAATCTCGGGCACCACATATGTTGGGAGGAGGCCAACAACGCGGCACCGTCGAGAACGCCCGCCCAGAACGCCATCTCAAGGGACAGCGAATACAAGTGCACAATACAACATCCAATCCGATGTTGAGCTACCAAAGATGGACACCGACATTGACATGGTGCTTCGCCCAGGTCCAATCGATGCGGATGAGGCGGAGACCGATCGTGCGAAGGCAATGGTTGATGCAGATCGCGAACGGGTGCAAAGGAGAATGAGAGAGGAGGAGCGGGGAGCAGCTATACCAACCCGTAGAGAAATGGAGAAACAAAAGAAGAAGGTTGGGGAGCATGAACCGGAGCATGTGTGGGAGATGGGGCAGCAAAAGGAGGAGGAAGAGGAGGAGATGGGCCAGCAAGACGAGGAGGAAGAACATGAGATGACCCACGAGTCGCAAGAAGAAGAAGAGATGGAGGACGAAGAAGAAAAGGCTTGCATGGAGCGGCGAGAGGAGGAGATGGAAGAAGATGAAGGGAAGGGCATAAACTAGCAAGAAGAGGGGTTGGACGACCAACATGCGGAACGGGTGGGAGAGAGCGAGAAGGAGCGGCAGCACGACGAGATGGCGAACAACGAGGAAGAGCCGCAACAGCAACAGCATGCACGGATGACGGTGTACAAGCGTCGGAAGCAAATAGCGCAGTCTGCCGGGTTACCGGAGAATTCCCCCGAATTCCCAGACAACGTCGAGGGAAGCCAACACGACAACCTGTGGGTTAGCAGGGTTGGGAGGAAGAGGAAGGTGCCCCCTGTCGACGATGTGCCGAGGCCGAAACTTCCACGTGGCAGGCCTCGGAAGAACCCGACTGCTGGTCCGACTACGAAGCCGGAAAAAAAAAACAGCAGTGCAAGCCTCGCAAAACGATTGTCGAGGATGACCCCGAATCCGACAGCTGCAACAAGCAGTTCGTCGAAGTTGAGGGTTACACTGCTGACTCACATTGGTGTGTGTGTGTGTGTGTGTGCGTGTGGGTGGGTGGGTGGGTGGGTGGGAGAGAGAGAGAGAGAGAGAGAGAGAGAGAG